CCTACGATAAATAACCTGTCTTCAACGTATTACATGTTTCCTGCGGATATACATCATGTCGAGCTGTTTTGTCAGCCATTTATATAGTCACAAGCGAAAAATACTTTATATTTGCCGTATAGGGACTTATAAATGTTTTTGTTATCATTCGTGTGATATTTTTGCATGCGTTATGAAATATGGCAGCGACTCTTTTATTTTTACTGTGAAAGACAAATAGCTATGTAATTTATGAGCAATGATTTGGAAATCTTGATTCACACACACAATGTAGATATACCGAGTCTTTGGATTTGAATAAAAGGAAAGATTTTAGGAATGTTATTTATTTACATCGTTGTATTTCCATTTATTACTTCAATGTTGTACATTATCTTTGTATTTTCATTGAGTATACTACGGCAAATTAATGTAATATAGCATTTATTTATATTTCGTTTAATTATTAATAGACAAAATTAATTTTCAACACTTATCATACTTTGTATCAAAACATGTTCAGAGCGAAGCAAAAAATTATTATCAGATTTATTAAAATACTAGCAAGCCACCCCGGCTTCGCACGGGTGCAATACTCATGTATTATACATATAAACTTCTTCTTCTTTAAGAATCACTTCATCGATTAAAAAAAATAAGCATACATAGGGACAGACAGGCGGCGGAAAGCGACTTTGTTTTATACTATGTAGTGATTACAACTTGATAACATAGTTAAATGCATTTGTTCCATGTGAGGGCTATGTAATTGCTGTTTAATTATTTATAACGTAGGTACAATCACTTTTAATATATTACGTGTCTTCTGTTCATTACTAAAAGGATGGTCGTTACCCTGGTAGGTAGTGTGTATAAGAAGATTATTTGTAACTTAGTAACATATATTAATGAAATAATTGATGTTATCTATACTAAAAACGTCTTCGTTTCCTCATATACATATATATGAGAGAATTTCTTACCAAAAATAAAGGTATCTCATAAGGTAAAATTGATCTACACTGTACACTGAAAACTTTAAAACAAAAAATAATAAAGCTTGTGTTAGGTGTAATATGTAAATGGTGTTGCAGTTATCTTGGACGACATATTCATAAGTAATTCAGACCCAGATATTTATATTATGTATTCAAATATGTCAGTTATTGAAAACTGATTGATTATTTCAGATTGAAAACTGATTGTTGTCAATTAGGTTTTATAGTAGAACATTTAAATGCCTAAAATTATCTTCAAAACTTCTGTCTGGCTTATAAATAATATAAGCCCTAATAACTTACATGTTGTTTAGTTTATTTTAAAACAAAACTTATGTGTGTTAATTATAAAGTACCTACTTACATTTGAAGTAAATGATTTTTTTCTGAATCGCTTTGATTTAATTTGTACTGTATTATTTTTTAGATAGAGGTAAATCAGTGTTTAGTAGTGACATTATTAAAGATCAGTTAAATACACTATGGACTCTATTATATAGCGTTACTCTTTTTAATCCCTGAAGAGTGGCAAAAGTACAATCTACAAGTGTATGGTATTGCTTTTTGCGATAAGGCCGCCCTTGTACCCTTCTTTATAAATTGTAAAATTACTTACTTCCAAGTACTACTTTCTCTATCTATCTACATACATAGAGCCGCCTCTCTTGCTAGTTTGGTACGACTTTATAAGTCCCGTCCCATGTAATAGTGAAATGAGAGTGAGCCTATTTCTGAACACAAGGCACAATTTCAGACTCCGTGCTCTTACTAGCATTTTTCGGAAAATTTAAAAAACCACCGTAGCATGTTACATCAAACTTTGCTCCTGGGAATCGAACTTGAGATTCCTTGACCAGCAGTCACGCTTGAGACCATTCGATCTACGAGGTAACAGGAGAAGGCAAGTAGAGACTCGATTATTAACCATAAATCGTTATAGGTCGTAAAATATCTTTCAGACGAAGAACAGTTTCACATATAACTTTATAGACCCAAACACAACTCAAAAAAATAAAAATAAACGAAGCAATAAAAAAGAACATTATGAACATTGAGAAGAAAATAAAAGAAATCGTATACAATAAAAAATCACTTCCAAGTATCTAACCCTTTTTATATTCAATTTGTCCGCTGGGTCTTGAAATAATTATACACATCAGAATGTATAAACCGGAAAACACATGGGACGGGTCGAGCCTCGCTACGAAAGAAGGAGATCAATAGAAACTCGACCTTGACACAATTTACAGTGGCCGTACCTTCGTGGTCGCGTTCAAGAATAAACATTAGGCCTTCAGTATAACATTACAGTGAAATAGAGAGGGAGGCGCTCAACAAACAACCTAAAATAAACTTGCCTTTTGCAGGAACACCAGCTACCAAGGACAACGTTAAAAGCGAAACCAAGTAACAAAATGAAAACTCAATTTGACTAGTAGTAAAAGGCAGGATTCACGATTTAAATTACCTATGTGTCGTTTCGTTTTTAAATTATGGAACTGCGGTACGCAAATTTGTGTAAAGAAATATATAGTCGTGATTTAATAAATGAGTCAATTATAATACATCTTATTTTCATTACTATAAATTTAAGTTTTTAAAGCAATCTATCAAGAATATTTTTTAATTATGATAAACACAATACCTTTAAAAATACTGCATTCTTAGATTTGATGGCCCCCATGCAAGTTTATCGTTTAAACATACATAATATTTATGTATGGAATTTCGCTACGCGATTTTTTTAAGTATGTCGATTTTTGTTTATATTTATTAGTTTTTATACTATGTCTAACAACAGTAAATATTTACGTATTGGAATTATATTAGGAATAACGTCACTGTAACTTCAATTATTGATTCTACAGTATAAACAACTAACATTGAACACTCTATGAGTTACAGTAAAATATTTACTTAAAATTGGCAGTTTTAGATGACACCTACACACAGAGGTTAACATTAATTACGAAGACGAAATATCACAGGTGGATGAAGCGATATACAGGCAGGAACTCTACTTAAGTAGTAACAAGTAATATATTTAATTATATTAAATATCTTCTTATTGTTAGTGGAAATGGAACATTTATATGTCAACAATTCACTCATACGTAGGCCTTGGAATTGACTTCACTTCAACACGCAGGATATGTTTATAGATAATATACGTATCTTCACAACAGTTTCATTCGATTTATACTTTATCTATAACAACCATAAGAGTTACAACTGAGTATCCCAGTTAAACGTAGCAATAGCGAGGACGACGCAACTCTTCTTTGTCCGTGCACTTGACAGTAAAAGCTTTGTATTTACACACACGAAACGTCTCAATTTTCGGTTCAACGTTCTCTTACGCGACATTCGACACGTCTAATTTGTAACAAATTTACGTTTTTTAAACTCACGATTAGCTTTAATTCATTGTAATATAAGTGAGAGAAGTTAACCTCAAAATAATATTTTTAATACTACGTTCAGGATACGATTGGAGGAGTTGAGTGCGCAGCGCGCCTGCCGCGCAGGCTCCGCCGATTGCTTCCGAGGGCGGGCGAACCATCCCAGACCTCGCTTCTCCGGACCGTCGGCCGTCACTATTTTTTTTTTTTTCATTTGTGAACTATGCTATAAATAACCTATGAATCCAAGGACTAGATAACGCTAGATAATTAAATTAAATGTCAACTAATATCGAGTCACTAATGAACTGTATTTCAATGTGACACACCATTGCAATAATATATTAGCTAACTAGACTAATAAAATATGGAAATACTCGTCTCTCTCTTTTTGCTTGGATTACATTATAAATAGAGATATCCATTAAAATATAAGTAACTGCGAATACTGCGATGCTAGCAGATGTAATGGTAATTCGCGTTGTATTGATATAAATGAAGGCGTATTTTTAGCACCACAAGCAACACTTATTAGGCTTCTAACTAAAGTTTATTAAGTTTGTTCATCAGGAACAACATGGTGAAATAAGTTAGTACTACTTCATTATGTACATAATGACACAAAAAACATAAAATTAATTCAAAGACCAGTAGGCCAGGTGCCTACTCTGCATATAGATTGGCCACTGATGTGAGATTATTAAAGCTCGGAAGTACGTTCATTTACAATTTATAGGAATTAAAGGCTAATATCGTCGTAATCTTCATGTAACACTTATTAAGGCAAAGAAAAATATATTTTTCCTTGGTTTTCTTGTTTACCTACATAACTGTCGCAGAATTTATTGTGGTTCGGTTTCCGATTTGATGTCCAAATCTATCTCTCACACTCTATTGCATTTGGCTATTAACATAATTGGAAAAACATATTATTGTGTCCCAAAAAGGGTCTCAAAAAATAAGAGTCATATTTTTCTGTACTTTATTTGCATATTGCTACTAAATGTTAGAAACCATGAGTTACGTCATTAATTTAGGTACCAGCCTAAACAGAAAACACGTTTTCTTCATTTATGTTCTGAAGAGGATAATGTAGATCTCGCAAAAGGTAGCAACTTGAAAGTACAAGTAGTGGAAGGCCTTTGATCAACGGTGCGGCGATAAGCGCTAAATATGGATAATCATAATGCGGGGTTTAAGTAAGTGATGTATTTTAATTATTTCCATTTGGTTTCCTCGACCTTACTTGAGAGTGAAATGAATACCTGTGTTTGGAAGCTGCCTTGGTAAATCGATTTGCCTTTTGCTTCAAAATACGTGGATAGATTTGGTAAACCGGGTATTAGAGTACTTCATAGAATTCTAATTAGATCTGGGACAATTTTGGAAAGGATTCAACAATAATGCGAAATTCATCATTTACGTGTATTCCCTCACTAATATAACCACTAGCTTTCTCTCTTGTACTTAAATGTACACAATTTAGGAGTATTTTTTTACTTTTCATGTGTAAGTGTTGTATATTTGTTGTCATTTCTTTATATTTTCTGTTTATTCATATAAAAATGCAGATGTATAAGATTCTTTAAATTTATGTTGATGTCAATTCTTTAAGACTTACCTCACTCGATGTCAAGTAGCAGATCCTGGAGTCGGTGCTGTCAATCGAAGCTTGCTGAACAATTCCATATCGGGTGGATTCACGATCGCTTGTGTATTCCGAACGAACACTGTCTTGACGGTCGAAAACGCCTCTGTAACAGAAACTAAATATTTACCCTTTCTTAACTTGACTTGATTAAAGGATTTCTGTTTGACTTTGCCTTAGGGTTGAAATTTAAACGGAAATAAAAGAACAGATTCTATTGTCAATGTTTAGATACGTGTATTTGCCTTACATATTCACATCACCGTCAACTTATCGACGTGCCAAAAATACAATTTCGCGAGATGTCGAAAATAGCTTAACGTAGGAATGCATCATCAGGTGGAATGAATTCCCAGGTGTACTGGGGACGGTTCTAAGAAGATACAGGAAATACCTTTCGAAATACCTTTTCGGCAAACTTTTCAATTTTTGTCATCTCGTGAGAATTTAGAAAATGTCTTTCAAATAGTTACATTTTTGGCGTTTTTACCTGTTCGATCTTAAGAAAAATAAATATTTATTTTAAACTTTGTTGACGGAGTTATAATATTATTTAAACTTTTTCTATGGGACGTTAAATGTGTCTACGTAAATAAGTCAAATTCTGTTCCTTTGGGAGTTAACTTAATTTTGTTTTTAGGTCAACGCCGGGATCTCACAAAATAATTAAATTTCCATTTTTTGAGTAATCAGTTTCTTTGCAAATTGCAACACGACGGCGTGTCCTGAAGGATTTCGTATTGGTATTACAATTTTGCGCGATGAGAATGTGGTCTTATTAGGTCTTTCATAGGTAGCAGTAGCAGTTTCATAGGTTTCATAGGTATGTACCTTCTGATTTTCGACAAAAAATAAAATACGATTTGAGAGAAAATATTCCATTTAATGATCTTCTAGTTGATTGATGTCACTTGATTCAGAATTCTATTAAGCTATAGGTATACATACACGTTTTACTCATTTGAAATGGGTAATCCATAAATCTATGTAGATTCAATTTAACTTTTCATGATTTTATGTTGACAGACAACGTATTTAAATATGAGACAAACGTGATAGAACTATTTTAATTATTTGAACTAAATAGCTATTTGATCAAAGCAAAGAATGTATTGGCATTTCAAAATGTCGTCGATATGTAGGTAGATACAGAACCGAATGGACCAATTGATTTTACTTTGAAAACAAATTTAATTTAAGTGTGGGAGAGCCATGCTTCGACACGAATGGGCCTGCTCGACCGAAGTGATACCACGGCGTCACAAAAAACTGACGTGAAGCAACGCTTTCGTTGTGTTTCGTCGTGTGAGTGAGCAGTCATTATCCAATCCAAATCCCGTTCCCCAATCTCCCCAATTCCTGAATCGCCAACGATCCTCAAACTCCTAATCCTCAAAAGGTCGCACTTGTAACGCCTCTGGTGTTCCATTTGTCCATGGGCGACGCCGATTGCTTACCATCAGGTGATCCGTCAGCTCGTTTACCGGCCTATGCCATAAAAAAAATTAAAGTTAGTTGTATCGAATTCTTCTTATTGTTCCATCGCTACTAATGAATAAAGTATTAAAAATGAACTTGTCAAGGGGAATCAAAATCCGTTCATTCCATTTCGGGTCGGATTTCGAGAGACAGGTAGTAATGAGAACTTCATTTGGATTTTCGTTTCACTGCCAATCTTCTCCAGTGACATAAATTGTTAAAATAAGTATTGAATATCAAACCAGATCGTATCGCTTTTGTATAATTTAAAACACACCTCATGGTTTGCGATTTTACAATTTGTTTATTTTAAAATAACCTTACTATTAATTGTTAACGTTAATTTTGAATTGGAAAGTATGTAGCTCAAAATACTTCGAGCATTTTTCCTGTTTCAAAATGTATGTTTGTTGTACATATGTATTGTTGTGTGCTTCATTATATCTTACTAAGTGGTGTTTCTGGTATATTCTGATAATTCTCAATTAAACTAAAAAATAATAACTGCAATTTGGGTATGAATGAAATATATTTACGATATAATCCAAATTAGATGTCTTTAAGAAAAATGTATCGACATAAAATCGTAATACCGCCGTCGATAACTGTTACTGTTTTCCTACTAAAATATCTGAAATAACAACGTAGACGTAAGTACATCATACCTTTGCTCGAAGCTGTCAGCCCTGTTGCTCCTGTAGCCGGAGTCGTTAAGGCTGCCTTCATGGCGGAGACTGGGAAGGGAGTCCCAGGGGGAGCGGCGAGGGCCGGGAGGAGGGGCACCGCGCCACCCGTCTGAGTGGCGGTACCACGCCGCGCGGGCTGACTCACCGATGCATGAAGCGCACCGGGATGCGCTCACGAAACTGTGCATAACGTACATTATAATTGTCATGCCACCTTTACTAGTCACTGCTAAGATTAACACAGGCGCCATGTTATGTCACATACAGATTAAAATCACCCTATAACGATTTTAGTATTTTGGATATATTTTCCAATAACTCCGTTAGTCAAACTATTCATAACAACAAACTCCTACGAACTAGTATCTATTGTTTATTTTGCATTCTGATTGGTGGAAATAATGTCACGGAACTGCACCTATCAATTAGTTCACGTTGAAACAACGAAGTTAGGACGTAAAAGTTTTTCTTTCCGTGCCTCAGATAAATGAAAAATAAACAAGCCATCCAAGTTAAACTAATTTGAAATGGACGAATCCCGACTGAGATAGACTTACCAATGGGATTGGATGCCATTGTTCCGTGTCAGATTAATGGTTCCTAGTTTTCGAAGTTGTTTTAAATATGTAAATGATGTTGATGAAAAAAGATTGGGGGATTTGACTTTTAAACTCTGACTGATGGAAATGAATAAATTACAATAGAAAATCCACAAAATGTTTGCAAAGAAAAATGGGTTTAAGAATATTGAGTAAATTATTTCATTTCAAAGTTACAAAATATACAAAGTGTATAAATAAAGTTCTTACTGACTACGATTGAACATATTCAGAACTAACATTAAAAATAACCTTTAACGTAAGTAAGATTTGACATAACGGGACTTTCCTTTGAAGTGCTGCCATATTCAAAGAAATGGGTACATATTTGTATTTTATTTATAGAATACATTTGTGACGTGTATAATTTATATATTTCATAAGTTACGAAAGATTCTTCCGTCTTATCAATCATGTTCGAAATGGAAAAAATACAATAAAGACTTTTCAAGTACTTTGCTAAATATTTCTTCGGAAACAAAGCAAAACCTCCGTGTAATTTGCGAAATCATCTTCAACTTTTCCATCTTTCAATCACCTAATAAGATCCGACTTTCCAAACTTAATACCCTTGTAGACCTCGAGCAACAGGATTATAGATCGAGAAATTGTGTAATAATATCAAAAGCATCATAAATTATTGTCGGTCCTTGAGTATTACAAAAATTGCTTGCTTCGCTAATGTTCAGAATAGCTAATTCTGTCCCCAGAGTGTACCCTGGAGCATACGTGACTCAGGAAAAACGATAAGTACGACAATAACTGTGCCGCACGATCGATGCCTAACCCTACTTACACGACAATGGGTCTTGTGGGACGAAATATCAACATTCCTGTACCAAAATAACATATGTTACCAGTAACATAATTGATAAAAGTGTACGCATTGACTTTTGGCTTTTGCTACTCCACGTAGGAGTAAGCTACGAATAGTGTTATTGATTACATGTTTCTGCGAGTTTGGTGAGAACCTGATTTGTTGAAATAATTTATAGTTTTCTTAGCCCAAGCCTGAAAAAATACAGATAAGCACATCGGGAAATAGGCTCTTTCCGTTTTATGAGATTGTTAATATAAAATAACTGACAAAATGTTGTGTACACCTGCGTTACTGTAAATTTCATCTAGGAGAATAAATCTACTAGACATGTGATCAGTGAAAGTAACCGGGAAAAAAATAGTATCACAAGTCAAATAAAAATTAATTTAACTCGTCGAGTACCGTATTTATAGACACAATTAAAGAACAATAGGTTGCGGTCACCGGTGACCGCTTGGTGTTTGACAGTTTAATAATGATACACATTGGTAGTAATAGGTAGATAGTAAGTTAGTTCCATTAAGTTTATCTTTGCTATATATTTTTATGTGAGAGAGTAGCAGGAAAGGCTGACCATTTTGTAAGAGATATTTTTCTTCGCGCTAACTATTGTTATTTTTCAAGTAAAGCCCTTTGCTAAGTGGTAGAACGAGGGATGAATCGAAATCGTTATCTCTGTAAATGTATCGTAAACACGTACAATTTCGTATCTCGATTTCGGGAATTCCTTGTATTCTACTGAGCATTATTGTTTTCGGAATGAATCTCCTTAATCCGTTTAGATACCTCGATGCTTATGAAGACATATTACTAAATCTCTGGCAATAGGCTTACGCTATTATACTGCGTTTAGACAAATTAATTCTCGAATAAAATATTAGTTCAATACATCGTGAAGCTTCTTAACCAAGTGGTAGCATCGTGTTCCTTAAATATAACAGAGGCAGTCTGTTTTTGTTGAAGAAGTGTTGATTATTTTCTCAAAGATGCAAAGCGTTTGTATTATAATGAGGTTCTTGAAAAACACAATAAGAAATCCGTGTCTTCCATGAGATATTCGTTGAATTTTCTTTTCGGTAACAAAAACACTAGTGGCATTAAAAGATTTTTTTAGAACAAAGGTCCTACTTCTGTCTGTTTTGTGTCGGCTTAGCGGTCGCAAACGGCTGTTGAATACTGCTGTGTCCATTTTCAGACAAAGTCAAGTATACAAGAAAAAACAAGAACTAATAACAAACAAAAACTAAAAAGCAAAAAAATACTGTTATTAGTACTGATAGGTTAGAAGTCAGCGCCATAAGTTCTACACAAAATTATTCATTAAAACCTAATTTACAATTTTGTGGTCATTAAGTTATATCCTTATGATATAAGCCTATGGCACCGACTTTTAACCTTCAGTGGGTGTGTAAACTATAAGTACGTATGGCCAATAATAGTTATTGTTTCCTTTTTAGTTTTTACTTTTAGTTTGTCTTTGTTTTTGAAGTCGGTTTTTTGAAACAAAGATTTTTCTTTTTATTTTATACTTTTTAGTTTAGTACTATGATATATTATATTATACACAACCCATAAGGATGCAAAGTTTTCATCAATACAAATTATGCAAGCTCAAACTCCGGGCTCTTAACCATTTAGGAGTTCCCTTAGCTATCATACTACATCTAGGTGTAAAGTCCTTATCAATACAAATGATCAAATCTAAACACAAAGTAGCTACTGGTAACCGCCGAAGAGTTCGCTCAACTGTCGCACTACTTCATCATCAGACGTTTATTGACAATCACACCTCACCAATGTGTAAAGTCCTCTTCAATAGTCTTTTTTTTCTTTTTTAGTTTGTACTTTTAGTGTGTCTTAGTTTTTGAAGTCGGTTTTTTTTATTTTTTATGTATTTAATCAAAAATATAAATCCGTCATTGATTTTATTATTTTAAGTTACATTATTTATTTTCATATACAAGTAGGTATGTTTTGATTGTGGGATAAGTACCTGGGAGTCTTAAGCCATTCCTGTCACCATTTCATCCAATCAGAATTAATCCTATACATAATGGGCTGTCATATCACTATCTATCAAACCTTTACACAAATGACCTAATCGTATCGGAAACCGGATTAACTACAATGTCAATATCCCTTGTATTTAATTTCAATTAGTATTTAATTAATTTAGTAAACTGAGGTGTCCAAAATATAAAATAGGATAAGTATTATATTACCTGAATAGCAGAAAGCATCCTCTTTTAATTACCCAGTTAGTCTTATAGGAAAGTCTAGAACATACCAGGAGTTTTTTATTCCAAACCTGTCACGCTGTGTCAGTAGCTTCATTTTTTTTGAGAGAGGAAAATCATCCAATGCCTTCTCCCAGGCTGGAAGCGAGAGGGAGTGTCAGATTCTTACTGACAAAAAACCACCCTTTTTCCGACTCCTGCAGTTCGAGCCGAAGACCCGGCAACCCGTTAAGCCCTCCGTGGCTCCGTGTGTCAGTAGCTACCTTGTGTTTACTATCTGATAATTTTCAATAATTAAAATATTAAGCCCAACCTTTTCCTTTTGCGAAGCTGTCATCCTAGCTAAGGAGGAGGCGGGACGCGTAAGGCAGCAAAGCGCTGCCTCCTCGCAAGCCAGCCATCGCAAAGGACACTCCGGGCGTCGGGGATCGCGAGACGATCTCCGGCCACCGTAAGCGCGAGTCCGACCAGAAACAGACCCGAGCGGCGCGTCGCGTTCCGCTCGCGATTCAAAGAGCCATCAGACCACCACAGATGGGGCCCGATAGGGCTGATGCCGATTCGGAGTCGCGGAGAACCTAACGGGTTACCGGGGCTCCGGCTCGAAGCGCAGGAGACGGAACGGGGTGGTTTTTAGGCAGTAAGAGTCTGACACTCCCTCCCGCCTCACCCAGGCGGGAGCAGTCATTCGATGATTTTCCCCCCTTAAAAAAGCCCAACCTTTTTTCAGTTTGATGACCAATCAAATAACAAAGGAGTGATAAAAACATTATACATATCGCCCATAACGTCAACATATTTACACAACGTATTGTGTAGCCTATGAATAGGTATCGTGGGTTTAGATCGTTCCTCATGAGTGACTTTTCTTTCAGACACTTACAATGACTACCTACTCATTTTCTTAGAATAGTTTTTTCTGAGGAATTCGTAGCTAAAATATAATATACGGAAAGTGTAACCGTATACACCCACAAATGTAAGAGTAATTATTAAGGATTTTGCCAAAAGTGGATACCAAAGCTAATTCATATGTATGTATTTTTGCGCCCCTTTCTATATGGTATGTAATACATTATGTTTCTAGAACAGGAACAACCTCTTATAAACTATTAGCTGTTGCCTGTAACTTCGTCTGCGTACAATATGAATCCATTTTTTGTCCCTTGGGAGCATTTAATAGGGATAAAATAAAATATCCTAAGATATTTTGGAGACAGTGTGTGTTGTTATGACTTCTGATAGGGATGAATGGAAAAAGATGATAATTGTAACAAGCAGCAATATTAACTAAAATCGCGGGTTACTCACGTGAATATACTGAGAAAAACACCAAGCTTAAAGAATAAAGCTGGATATGATGTAGAGGATGATAAACCGCAAACTTTTAAAAATGTTACTCATACCTGCATTGGACAGCAGAGGAGGACCTGACAACCCGAGGTATAATATTTTATTTGAAAAAATAAACTCATCTGAATTCCTTTTGAGTTTGGTATCATTTTCAGTGAATTCGTACAATTTAACCATTCCCAAAACATTAATTGACCTACTTTAACACTCCCGATGCGGATCGTTTAATTGGATTCTAATTTAAATACAGATACTTTTGACGGTTTCATTAATTGGCCAATTAATGGAAGCAAAATACACCGTCAATTATTCCAGTTACCCTGGATCACTGTCGTGTAATAGTGCATGAAATCTTTTATTTATTGAGTTCCAAATTGTAGGTAGCATGGACTTCGAAATTTTATTGATAAAACGGCAATATTCTTTAGTTGTTGTCAAGGCGGTAGTTTAATACTACAGATTTCACTGTTATGTACTTCGCTAGATATTATTGACTTATGTTATACCTTATAAATTCTTTAAAATTAGATTGATATTGAAATTGACACTCTATTAAAATTTGAGAAGGTATCTTTTTATAAAGAATGTTCTGAATTTGCGCCGAATAAAAAGGGTAATAAATTATTTCATAATACAAGGTCAAGCCACCAAGAAAGTAGCTTTTTCGCTTATCACTAAGCGGCTTTTCTTCGTATGAGAAAATAGCATTGGATACCATCAGCGTAGTTATAGACGGAGACGACGAATATAGGGTGGTATAGACAAAATATTTTTGCTAATTCCTACCTTTGTGCTAAACGTTTTCTTAATTTTTTTCATAGACATCATAGTCACAATTTGCAACCAGTTTTTATTTCACATAAAAATTGATATAACTATAATAACAAGAAGAATTGTTGCTATCAGTACTTGCGTCCCAAACTTGAAGCTTATTGCAAGTATGTACCACATTTCAAAACAGAACTGTGCGTAATGCACTTTGGAAAATTAACTTCATATACATTCTAAGTTATTGTAAATAAAATAATCAGTTAAATTGATTGAACCGTTCACACGAGATGCGACGATCAAGAAGATAGAGATTATTAGCACCAAAATGTACTTTCATGTTTAAACGTTATTCAGTCACAAAAATATGACACAACAAATATACAAGGTATTGTTTTACATTTCCTACGAGGTAACTTGGATATCGATTCTGAGTCCGAATCAATAAAAAAAATTGTAGGTAAATTTCATTTTTCTGAAATTACGGAAATCCGTAAGTGCAAAGTACACGCCGCTGTCTTGTAACTAGCTTTATTACGCGGCTTAACACACACAAACTGTAACATGGAATTGATATTATTCCGAATTCCATAAAACTCCAATAAGAAACATTGCTGTCGCTTATTCTGAAATACTGTCGAACTTAGGTAAACGATTTATTATTTACAGCCGTATTTTTAACTACTGGCCCGAAATTTTCTCTTACATTAAACCTTTGTGACTTCTGTGACATGCCCCCGAGAAATGACACGGTTTCAAAACTACACCTTATAAGCGTATCATGAAACACAAATTCAGTTTTACTGAACCAATTCAAAAGTACTCTCAAAATTATATTTGTTTAAATGAGTACCCACAACAAAATCCAATTAATTTACGAATCAATATTATTTGAAGTGCATGTTTTTAATGTTAACATTTCATTAGTGGAAATTGTTCGTACAATATTTGCGAAACTTAATTGGATTCAAATGAATTTAATTATAAGTACATCGGTACCTGTTACATAGACACATGTATTTACATTATAATAGCATATTTCAATTACTGAAATTGTTAGCGATCACTGACAGTCCTGTCCCATAACAAATTAATCGTGTAAATGTTAATGTAACTTATATAAGTACCTATTATTATATTCATATGAGATGATCGTGTGCCAGAGTGAATGACGAAAATTGTAGTAGTCATTGATAGCAAATCCAATTATATTTGCAACTAGCTGAACCCGCATATTTGTCTGCGTTTTCTCAAAATAAAAGCCAGCCAGTAGTACATTACCTACCTACCTGCTAAAAAATCCCGTCAAAACAGGTCCAGCCATTTCAGAGATTAGCCAGTAAAAACAGATAGATAGACAGAGACAAAATTTGTAAAGGTGTTGTTATTTTAGTATATGTATCGTATGTATATTCGTATGCATGTAGTAAAAAGTGGTTATTTCAATATTACAAACAGACATTCTAATTTTATTTATCTGTATAGATGGACCAATTTTATTTGCCACAATTATTTCAGAGGTTACTTGACAGTTTACATAAGTCTCAGCTTGTTAAATACGATAACTAATTTACTTTCAAAGTAAATTTGTTTCTTATTAGTTATGGCATTGAAAAGTATAAATACAAGAAGTGTGATAGAAGCATATTAATATAAGCAAAGGAAGCTATTTCAAAGCGAACCTCATATTGTCTTTGAATTCATTGACTAAATATTAAAATAGTCTCAACGGAATTATTTACACATCATCATCAACAGCCTATAAATGCCCACTGCTGAGCAAAGCCTCTTCTCACACGGAGAATGTTTGAGCATTAACCACCACGCTGGCTCAATGCGGGTTGGCGATTACAAACTTATAATTAAAAATTAGAAGCCCAGGTTTCCTCACGATGTTTGCCTTCACCGTTTATCGGTGGTGTCTAGAACTCTAGATAATCTTAGAAAGTATATATAACTCGGAAAAAATCACATTGATCCTTGCTGTTTGTAGGCTTCGAACCCGCGCCCTCATGTATGAGAAGCTATATATAGCAATCTTAAACCTTCGGCCACCACGACATCAATTATTTACACGGGTACAAATATTTCTTGGCAGTTCTGGACATTTAGATTGTAATCTAAAATCATTTTACGTACCTATAAGTTTAAAATAGTCACGAACTTTCGAACGTTATTAGGTACTATGACCGGCAAAGGGTTCAAAGGTTAAGATCCCATTTCATAATTTAATAACAGAATTGGCTAGTAATGGTTTTGATATAAGACGTGATATGGGACTAAAACTTCTGGTTTTACTGTCTTTAGGACCGTATCGTTACTTACATATTTTAGGACTGTTCTAACTTGATATTAAATAAACATAAGCTATCTTAATGTTACAGCAACAATCCGTTATATTGTCTCAGCCAAAAAATTACCAATATTACCCTGTAAAAACTATCCCTTCGAAGAAAGGGTACTACATATAATACTATCATAATATGCATATTTTTTTCATAATAAGTACATTGTTTCTGTATCATTTACCTAGTAGCTACAACCATGACGGGGTATACCAATTCATATTCATATTAATATTAACATAACATAACTACCTATGTACCTCATGCTTATAATGTGTTGTCCTTTGTAATATTGTCTGTGTGGTGTGGGTATATGAAATGATAAATAAATAATAATAAATAATAATAACTTCACGCCTTTTATCCTCGAAGGGGTAGGCAGAGGTGTACATTACGGCACTTAATGCCACTGTACGATGTAAGACCCACTTTTCACTATTTATTTTATGAGTCCCATACATATTTATATTACACTATCACACTAGTATTATAAACGTGAAAGTTTATTTGTTTGGATGTTTGTCCGTCAATCGCACTGAAATTACTGAACAGATTTTGGTATACAGGCAGGGTATAGGTGATATGATACTTTTTATCCCGATTAAATGCTCCCATCGGATAAAACAGGAATATGCCGTTAAAGCCGCGGGTGAAAGCTAGTACGTACATAACTATTTCAAAATAATTTCGAACATATAGCCTTTCCTAGAAATCTTATCTAACAGCATAGAATACCTTATCAAATCTAACCCTTGAGGATCTAAAGGGTTCCAAAGGGTAACTATCGTCTTTCAATAAAATATTAATATTCTTCCCGTTTTCTGAATTTAGTTAAGACTCAATGTCGATCATATCCTAGTTGCGAGAAATGATCAGAAGTGAAAGAAAGCTATTTTAAGATGGCTTTTAACCATTGTATAGAGCGTTTCCTTATTCTGCTTTTTGTGTGTAATATTTGTTACCTCTATATAACCAACCACTGTCTCTTGGATCCAATTTTCAAAAACAAGCATACCAAAAATGTTTCGAAAAATAACAGGATTACAGGACATAAACAAGTACGTGGGACATAAACATTTTTGTAATCCTCAGTCGTTGAAGGATATTTGGAGTTCTTAGTTTATATACTACGAGATGTAGAATAATGCATTGAAAATTAATATTGATACTGACCTTGACTGGTGATCACTGAGATATCCTTGATCACGATCACGGACTCTGTCCCTGGAACAAAACACACTATACAATCATCTGTTCATCATCATTTATCAGCCTATAAGTGGCCACTGCTGGCCAAAGACCTCTTTTCGCACAGAGAAGGTTTGAGCATTAATTACCACGCTTGCTCAATGCGAGTTGGCAATTTCAAACTTATAATTAGAAATTATAAGCCCAGGTTTCCTCACGATGCATTGTTTTCCTTCACTGTTTGTCAGTAGTGTCTAGATAATCTTAAAAAGTACATATAACTCGGAAAAATCACACATTGGTACTTACCGTTGGTAGGTTTCGAACCCACCACCATAATCCTTTACTAGTACTACTTTTAAAGGACCAATAAATACATAGGTACCTCCTGACTAAAATTATTTCATGGTCTGCAAAGATCATACAGACTAGGAGTAAAAAATGAGAAACTACGTGACTCCAATGGGGATAATTTACCTACAAACCACATCTCCTCATTACATAGGACAAGACAAAACATCGAATTTAACCATAACCCTTGTCTGGTAGTTTTAAATTCACGACAAACAGCTTCCTACTTTCAAGAAAATTATAATGATGAAATAATTAAGTATGTGCAGTGAGTTAACACCTCATCACGCTTACTCAAAATTGTTTACTGTAAACAAGCCAGATCCTCATAATCAAGAGTGTTTGTGAAAGGCTTGTTGTTTTCTTTCGTTATTTGATTAATGAATCAGCAGTCTTGAATATTATTAACTTAGGTTTATTTGCTTCACGCTTAGGAGCACTTACGTTATTTAAAATACATTTGATAGAAGAAAATTGAGTATCTCGTCTAACTTGTGTAATTTTCGATCTCTGTTTTCTTTTTGGGTAATAAAAACTGTGTAGATAGATGTTTAATATAGCCGTGCATAAAATTTGTTTAGTTGTAACCATTTATAAGTTAGGGGAAGATTGACAATTTTGTGATTACTCATATGTACAACATTAGTATTATCATAACATATGAAAGTGCGTCTTTGTTTCACATTGCATCGGAAATACTAGGATAGGACTAACGAGGATCGAAAGCTCGGGAATGATAAAAGTTACTTTTTGTTTGTTTTAGTATTGCAGTACAAGCTGCTAGCGGAGTATACTATTAAAATAGTATACTTTTGAATAAATAGTATTAATGAAATAAATCCTAGTATACTATTAAAATGGATGGATAAATCGATGAGTAACACGTAGCCTAGTGGCAAATAGTCCAGTCACTTAGCCCACCGTATAGTCAATATAACACTAGATTTCCTTCTTTTGATTTCGATGTAACGAACAATAGTTAAGTACATTGTTGTATATTTTTAAAACGTAACACACTACGCACTGCGTGTGTAACATGACTTTGGTCACTGGACAGGAAAATTCCTATTTTTTTAAATTCTCATTAAAAGGACATTATTACGTACTTTTATACGAATATGACATATCTAATGGTAAACAGAGGTGTACTATCTAATAAAATACACTTTTTCCAATCTCTTCGTAGATTTAATGTATTTATTCGTTTATCTAATAAATTTTACCTGGAGTTGTGATCACTCAAGTAGCCGCGCTCCCGGTCCCTCTCTCGTTCACGCATCAGTTCATTTCGGTCGCTGAAAATATGAAAATGGTCAACTATTTTCACACTATTATACTACATAGTATTTACTATATTTTTTCCTAGTTCTTCAACCCTTGTAATATAAATACTAAAAATGATATATATGAATCTCCCTTAAGTTTTGTGTTTTACTTATCTCAATAGTTTTAGCAATTTTCATTCAGTTCATAGATGTAACTAAATGACGCAATCATCTAACTAACCTGTTTTAATTTATCGTTTAAAGTCACAAAATTGACATAATCAATAAAATAGAATATTTTTTATTATTTAATAAACCACTCCAAACTATTTTTAAATTATTCGTGAAAATTGTTAGCGGGAAAATACTTTTAGATTTTTCATGAAATTAATGGCATCCATTATGTCCATTATGTATGGCCAGTTATATGTGACGTTTTTTTGTACGTAAAACTTTTTCTTTTTTGTACATAGTATTATTTTTTCATTTTGTTAGAAAATTTCTTTGTGGCCATCTGGCCATAGTTATTTAATGAAACTTTTTGGTGAAAAGTTCGACTTCTAGAATAAGCTGTTTAATTTACATTGTTCTGTTATTGCAAGTTATACACAAGTGTTCAAATTGTGATGTGGGGGAAAATGACTTAAAAATTAAAATAATTATTTTTTATAGGTTAGAATAGCCTAATCGATGATGACCTGCTTGTCAATACTCATATCTTCGTTTTGTATTGTCTCTCTAAAACGTTGGTGTTTCATCACTGATTTATTTATTTATTTTATTACATAGGATCTCCAACAAAAGATGTGCACAGCATATGCCATGAAAACCATACAAAATTGTAGGTTAGGTAAGTACACTCTTTAAATTAAAGGAAATCACAGCATGCACTTCATTTATCTACTAAGTCAATAACATAAAAATTAAAATTAAAATATGTAGTTGAGATAGAGGACAACTTGTAATAGTTAACAAGAAAAACAACACAAGTATTAAAAAACAGTATGAAGTGTTTCTCAATACTTCCCTTCAAGTTGCTTACACAAGAAAATCTGACAGCGTTATACAATTTTGTGGCAACTGATAACAAAAGTCTGAGAAAAATTAGTTCAATCATTTGACTTGAAAAAAACTTTTATTTATTTATGTGAAACAGAAATCAGTGGAACGCCATCTTCTCTATAAATGGTATTAAAACAATAGCAGTATTTTCTTATATTTGAGGGGCAAACAGAATCATATTATTCCTCCCACCCAGGGTGAGGCGTAAAGAGGTGTCAGAATCTAACCAACTAAAAACCACCTCATTCTAATTCCTACTCCGAGCCGGGACTGCGGTAACTTACTGCACGTTATCTGTAACCTGGGCGTGCCAAAGTCAAAGCATTTATTTGAATTAATCCTTATTTAGGCACTTTTAAAACGTCACAAATTTAATTGTCCATCCGTCTGTAGGTCAGTGAAGCTAGGCGCTCGTTCCAAAGTGTAGTTACAAATAGAGGAGAACGAGCAAGAAACTCCATCGTTCCTCTTTTCTCATAGCAAGGTTAATTCTTATCAGACTAAAAATGACATATTTTATGATTTACAAAATCACTATACTTAGTAATCAGAAATAGTTTTTTGACTCTCACCAAACAAGCCATGAAACAACACTTATTTACAATATTGTTAATAATATTTTTTACATAATGTTATAATTTTTTATAAAGACCTGTAGTATCCATCGCGGTCAGATCTTGCACTGTGCTGTCGTTCGACACCAAGACGATGTGGCAGTGGTAACGTTGAAGATCGGCTACCGCCCCCGGAACACTGTGACGCTGCTTCATTACAAAACATCAACACGTATTAGTAATTGGCACAATTATACAATTTATTTTAACATTTAGGTAAGAATCGATTCACACACATGTTAATGCAATAAGCGTACCCACTTAATATTTACTTCGAATTTTGTGGTACCTTTTTAATTTTGCCGACATTTTTAGTTCTTGTTATACTTCGTGAATAGCATTTTTTATCAATACTCGTAGCCCTTGTCGCTACGGGTGTATGTTGAATCGTTGGACTTGTTTACCACTTTGGAGAACATGTGTTAACGAAACTAAGTAATATATTTTTAATTTAATTCTTAGTTTCTTTTATCACATATTTAAAATGTTAATTTTTAATTTGTTATTTCTTATGTCGATTCTTAATCACAAACTTATATCTAACAGCTTACAAAGAGAGACCAGTAATACTTATTTTCTGGACTTTAAAAGAGAATTCTGAGTTTGTTTTGGCATTTCTTCCCAGAGTAGTCAGTTAGGAAATGCCGGGCCCTCATTTAGTAGGTAATTTAAAGATTGACTTGTAAAATTGTTACTTTGTAACCTATTTGCAGAAATAAATATAATTTCATACCACTTCATCTCATTTACTACATGGTAACACATAAATGATTATGTAATTTTTGAGTTAAATCATTTTCAATAGAGCACCGCTTTTGCCCTTACCTTACCCTTAAACATAAGAAGTGCTGTTGTGTTTCAGACATTTTATCAATGGCTTGCGAATTAAAAATAAATACTTAAGGTACAAAATCTTCTCACAATATCAAGAAGATTTTGACAATACACGCAGCTAGTGTATATTGTAAATCCAAGAAGTTGCCTTATAGACTAATTATCTTATATTAAATATTCAATGTGGGAATACTTTACTATCTACATATGACTATAAAATAAATCAGCGGCAGTATAATTGATATAGGATAAGATAGTGTGTGTTTTAGATTATTACAAATATGGAGCAAGGCAATTAGATTGATTCCCGATTTTAATAGTTTTACTACCTTACGTCTGTACTTTTTACGCCTAATTTTAAATGTCTACAAATTTCACCCCTGTAGATCTTACCATAACTGTTTACTGACAAAACACCTTTGTCTACACAACGTCGGGCTTGATATTGTAATGTTAATATTAAAACAAACAAGATACAATTGACTTACTCCACACAACAAAGGAATTGAAAGAAAGAACTGAATCAAATACGTGAGTACCATGCTTTTTGTTTACAAGAACCAAATAAAAGTTCCATGGTAAAATAAAAACGTAACAAAACATTTAAAGGGTAAGGTGAATAGAATACATAATTATTAACATTCCAACACAGGTACATATTGCATAGATATACACGATAATGCAATGATACCAATCATACAATAAATAATTAATTTTTATCACCTCTGTCCCTTAACGCAGCCTCCTTAAGGTGTCTCAAAGACTGTAGAATTGATTCTTGGGTCGGTCCTCAACAAAACAAAAACAGGGTTGAAATTAAATCTAAACAAGGTTGAATCGTGTGCAGTTTATGTTGTAAAAATGTATTTTTAAATTCAATTCATATTTATCAAAGTTGGCTGCATGCTTTTATTTTTGATATTTTAAAAGTGTCAAAAAGCCAAAGTATTGTAAAGTTACTGTCAAATGTCATATACTTACGTCGTCGCGGTGGATAGGGGCTTCGTTGATTAGAAGACGACACGTTGTCGTTGTACTCCGCTGAATTAGAATAAATATACATGTGAAAATTGTGTACTAAAGCCCCAAAGTTAATAATTCAATTTCATTTTTTTTCATTCATCAACAGCCTATAAATGCCCACTACTGAGCAAAGCCTCTTCTCACACAGGTTTAAGCATTAACCACCACGCTTGCTCAATGCGGGTTGGCGATTACAAACTTATGATTAGAAATTATAAGCCCAGGTTTCCTCACGATGTTTTCCTTCAACGTTTGTCAGTGGTGTCTAGATAATCTTAGAAAGTACATATAACTCGGAAAAAGTCACATTGGTACTTGCCGTCTTCTATCGTTTGTACTGTTATACAACCGGTCTCCGGGCTCACCACACCAAAGAAGGCTACCTACGGTGAGTATATCGTGTGTAGAGCCCAAAAGAAGTGGGATTAATTTACAATCTATGGCAGAAAAATTCGCAAACTTTAGAATGCAGATGGCAGACTGCTCGCTGTATCAGGGAGTGAGATGCCGGAATTGTTTTGAAGAGTAAAGTAAGGAAGTGGACTCTTGATTACTAGAGCAAAGACTAAACTTGTGTATTTTAATAGAACTTGTCAACTTTCTGAGACTGAATTAATGCCAAATATACCTATGTAGAAGTCCTCACTGAGTTTATCTCCCTGGGTTTTACGATGAGCAATCAGAGACAATGCGGTAAGGAAAAAGTATGACCTCAAACGGCAAAAGATGTTATCAATAACCTCTCAACGATAATAATATGGGAAAATACAAACATCTTTTATGTAACCAAATAAGACTAGAAAAGTACAAATAAGCTCATGCTTCGGTCAATAAAAAGCATCACTGGATAAAGAAGTTCGTTATTTTTTATTGATAGACATTTTATAAACTCTTCCATGAAGACTTACTAGGATGGGTAGGATCTTTGGCAATGAAGATCAAATAAAAATAATAATGATATTGAAAAATAGCCATTAGATTGCAGATATCAGGGTTTATTTTGAAATGTGTATATGAGCCGCTTCTAAATTGTTTCTTTACTTTTATAACACGCACTGTTTAAAATCTTACCCAAATCTTCCATGCTTTGACTTAGCAGAGCTTCGAAGGTATGCAAGCTATAACTCTCGGCGTCCATGCCCTTGGCAAGAGTGTTCCTCAGGTGCATCTCGTATTCCAGCAGCAAACGGGAGGTGGGAGATCCAGGGGCTGGTGTGGCACTCGATTGAGAAGCTTGACGAGATAAGCACGGCTTCTGGGGAAACGGCATTATAAGTCACTGCTCCTTAACGACACAGTCTTATTTTCCAATTGGTAAACTGGTATTTTTTTAATTTCTACGTAGATATCTATTACTGTGGGAATTGTAATACAATTTCAAAAAATATTATATTATCTAGTTTTTGTTAATGTTTTAAATAACCATAAAATAAGACGTTCAGACATATCAGTGTCTGTTTATTACGTTGTAAACTATGTACTTATCGTCAAACCATTCGTTCATTCAATAACGTTTATTGGTATAACCACAGAAAAGAAAAAAACTCTTTTCTGTGAATAGGGATCCATTTTCCAAAAAATTAGAAGAGAACTACAGTCTATGTTTTTGTTACACACCCCATGATGATGTTGTCTTGAATCACGGCGCTGGCAAGGCTCTTGATCTGAGTTACCATTTGATGAAGATGGTGTGGTAGCGTAACACTGGTTATCAAACATCACATTGTCGGATGGTGGTGACATGTCACGCTCTCCACCGCCCAGCTCTAGGTACAGTCCACGACCAGGATATCCACTGGGTGCCGCTCCAACTCCAACACCACGCCTATGGGCAAGAAAACATCAAATTAAATCAACTATTTCATAGTTAAAAAAAATATTGGTAACAGCTCTGACGTATGTCAGGTCATATACGTTTGTTACTGTGAAATATGGATATGGCAGAAGGATTGATCAACATAGTGAAATTCAAGCTAACACACAAGCGGATTTATCGGGGAAGGAGATTTCAAATTTGGTTCCCAGGTCGACCCAAAAAACTTTTGAGGTTGTCAGGTTCATCCCATATTATCGTAAATGTAGGTGTTACGCAATATATGCACGTTAAGCTAAAAATACGTGATGCAATATTATAAAAAAATAATATTTTTCATTTAGTAGAAAGATCGGAAAAAGTAAAGAGAATGCAAGGAAAAGTCCGCAAAAGGTAACTCGATTTATTTGGAGACGTGTAGAAAATGAGCCAAATCGAAAACATCCTCATTCAACTATATGTATATTTATTAGTCATTGCAATCATCATGCAAACAGCGTGAAAATCAGGCCCACCTTTTTAAGAGGCCCATGTCTAGTCGTGGACGAAACAGACTGATGATGATCCTTATTATCCTTGATGTTTCATTAAAGATTGATTTATGTATGAGTTTACCACAGCCTACTGTCAGTTCCTGGTCTAGCTTAGTAAATTCCAAACAAAAACGTACCGTTGCGAGCTCTGTCGGCTGTTATTGTTGACGATGTGTGAGTAGTGTCCGTGGTGCATGTGTTGCTGGTGGCGGTGTCCGTGTGAGCCGCACGATGGCGGGCAAGGAGCTGTGCCACCATATCGTCGACGTCCCATCTCTGGTGATGTTACCGGGCTCTCCGTTGACGGCATCGGCTTCAACATGCGTTTCAGAGTGCTCGAGTCTAGACAACATTTTAAAAAGTTAATTATTTTCATAAAACAGAAAGAGCAACAATGAATTAATTTCATTAACGGCCTATAAGTGGCCACTGCTTACCAAAGGCCGCTTCTCACACGAAGTTTTTTTTTTTGAAGGAGGATAATCATCCTTTGACTTCACGCCGTACGCGTGCCTTACGCACGGAGAAGGTATGAGCATTAATCACCGCGCTTGCTCAATACGGATTGACGATTTGAAACTTATAATTAGAAATTATAAGTCCGGGTTTCCTTACGATGTTTTCCTTCACCGTTTGTCAGTGGTATCTAAATAATCGTAGAAATTATAATTCGGAAAGTGACATTGGTACTTGCCGTTGGTATTATCCATTGGTTGTTTCCCCTTACTTGTGCAGAGTAAGAGTGATTGACATTGAACCGAATGAATTTATACTTTTCCATAACATTTTGTGATTAGGTTAAAGCAGGCCATAAATGGTGTTTAAAACAGTAAGAAACTACTGGTAAACAATGTTATCATCATCACTCGCCCTTCGTATGTCTCTCTAATGGTCTATGCAGTGAATGCGAAAGCAATCAATATACAGAGTGTGTCGTTTTAGTGACAAGGCCTGAAGATGTTTTCGGTAAGATTGATCGAGCTTTCTTGGAATTCCCTTCCTCTCCTTCCAGCAACATTACCCGAACGTACTTCGTAGCAAAACCAATTTTTTTATTATGAATTTTCATCTTGGTATGGTAGACAACTTGATGTATCCTGATTACGTAAAGTAACCAAGCTACCTTTAAGTATGTATTTTTTGTAAGATCCGTCATGTAACTAATGGCTTTGAAAATTATTTACCTCTTTTTTGATAATTAATACATTAAATACTAATTTCTTACCCATATTCATGTCCTCAGTGCTCTTGGATTTGGTGCGTCGTGATCCTGATGTGTTGTTATTGATCACGTTGTGATGATGAGCAGCATGCCGGTCCGATTCACGGGACTGAAAATTCATACAGTCCTGTTGAGTTTCCAAAATAATTAGCATTATTTTTAATACATATGTATTTATGGGCCGACACCTAAGTTTATTCAACAGCGTATCAGTTACGAAACACAACATAATAAATAGTATTAGGTTAAATGTTGGTTCTTTTTGGATTTAGAAGAGGAAAATATTTTTCTTTCTTCTTGAAAGGCAACCGAGAAAGACAGTTCTTAAAGTGCGACATCATTGACATGTTGTGTCATTTGTTTTTATTTTCGGGCTATTTTTTTGGATTCAGAAAAATAAGATTTTCCGTCCTTGATATTTTGGGTCTGAAGACATTGACGTGTCATTTGTTTATATTTTTTCACCCGATGAATTTTTCGATAGTTATATTTTTTCCATGTCTCATATCCAGTTATAGCACTTTGAAATATGTTTGTTTTGGAAAGTACAAGTGAAGATTTTAATATAAATATATATTTTAAGACCAAAGCTTATTATCTGCGTCCAGTTTTTTATTGTGTTTTAGCGAAAATAGTGAAAATTGTTGAATTGAATTTAATCAAAGTATAGTTAGAATTGCGTATTTTTATGGTTAAAAAAATAGCAAAATGTGGTTAAGTTTGGTGTAGCACAGAACACATACATAACCTATTTAGGTCGTAATAAAAGTAGTGATCACGGTGTCACTATATTAATAACCTTGAGTAGTTTTTTGTTATTTTGTTACATAGTTTCACTGTAATACGAGCATGGTTTTAAATTCCATCTATACTGTCTGTCCTGAGAACCAATTTTAAAATATGTGTATCCACTTGAGCCACTCAATCATTGAGACAGTGCCTCCTAAATTACATAGGTATACACCACCAAAGTACTACATTATTTTTCATACTTCTACAAAATTGTTGGCCTTTACTTTCATCGTGTATTTCATCATATAATGTTAACCAAATTCACCTGAATTCATATCATAAGCACAAATAATAAATTAGTTACACATACGGATTCGTTGCCATCGCCATAGTCGACGCTCTTGGGCATGTGTTGGAGATGTTCCTTGCCAGAGCGTGTAGAAGTTGCGGAAGATTTTGAAGAGGTGAGAGTGCCACCGGCCTGTACTCCTTCCGACTTCAGGTCTTGACTGTGCTGTGACGATGTACCGCCGCCGCCCGCTTGAGTTTCTTCGTTCGTCTAAGAATTGTTAACGTATTGTTAATAAACAATTATTTAAATTGAAATGTCGTTATATATAAAAAGTATGATCAATTGTGTGAGGTAATAAATGATAAGTCATTTATCGGAATGACATTTCTGTAAAAAATAGGTTTGGAAGAGAATTGAATTGAAAAGACATTATCACAACAATCCAGAATAATTTGAGATTGAGTAGACAAAAGAAGTTGTTTTGATTTCTATAAGTTAAGTATTTTTAATCTATAATGCTTACTGTTGTGAGCTTAGATATGTAGTTCATATTTAAAGAAAATACTTAAAAAATGTGTCCAAAGTTTATAAATACAAATTGGTTAAGTCTTACATTAGTGCCATGTGTTCCCACTGAAGCAGTGACAGTTTTAGGTGCAGTCGATGTGTTGGTAGTCATCGTCGATGTTTCTTGTGACTTCGGAGGTCTTGTCGGAGGCTGTGTGTCAGCTTGTCGCGATGCCGCTGTAATCAAAATGAAATTCTCTTCAACACAGTGAACGTTTAAAAAGGCGGATACTTTTGTAGTGATAGAAAAACGAATTCTGCCTCAAAATTAATTCTAATTGTTTTTAATTAAAACGTACATCACATTTTTATGAAATTGAAATACCTCAAAAGCTACACCTATATTTCCTGATTACTATTCATTAGTTTACTAAATTATGTGAGTAGGTACATTATGGATAATTGATATTAATTCTAAGTAAGTAATAAATAACTTCTACTAACGTTTTGGTGGCGGCTGGTGAGCAGGTTGCGAGTTGGATACGTTGTCGTACAGCGAGGTAGATGAAGTGGCTGCAGCAACTTTGTCAGAGCGGCCGGCCGTGCCCGTAGCACCCGCATCTGTCTCAATCGCACGTGTTGTAGTGCGCGGCAGAGTCGATGAACCTACGCCAATAGTTCCCATTTACACAAACTCTTTATCATTTGTGCATTTGTGCATATACACTTCTAGTTTTTCTACTAAGTGTTGATAAGACATGTGCTCAATTGTTGGATACACACATGTCAGGTTTTGGGAACATTATAAGGTATAACTAAAACTCGGATAATTATATATGATTCTTGAAAATGTTCGGTAGATATTGTATCGTACAAAAATAAAATATGGTTTGGGTAAATAAATTAATATGGTTTTGTGAGGCATAGGTTTTTGTTTGTGCTTTATTATTATTGCAATAAAAGAACTTTTTATACTCACGATATCGGGGATCTTGTGCTCTCAGTCGGGCGTACTGTTCTTGTGTCATGCATGTGCATTGCGGCTCACGTCCGTAGGTCAGACTACAAACATAAATGTTTATTACTCACAGACTTTACGGGTATAAAGGCTTAGTCTGCTCAACAGTGCAATCTCAAATGTTCTGTACAGACCTACAATAACATAGTTCGGAATAGTTCTCTGTTTTCTTCTTCAATAGTGTTACTGGTTTTTAGTGGAGTCTACCAGTGACCATACGTACAGAACGTGGTTTGTTCTATTTAGTTTCTTACTAACTTGTCAACAAGCAGAATGCATTGCTGACTTGCAAATAAAACAAAGCGATAGAATTTCGACAGACGGAGTGCTAAATTTTAGTTCTATTCAGACATCGTGGTTTCGATATCTATCAAAACTTTGATATGCAATTTAACTGGTTTTGACCAGACATCAAATATTTCACAGAACATCAATATTCTAAGGTTAATAAACATTGTGGTTTATGTCCGTCATAAATGTCATTTACATACCTAGAAGTTGTAATTAAATAGAATCGTTGACGTCATCGGGTAATGGTCTATTTGCGTATTAGGTACACGCTATGTAAAGAAAATTTAGATGAAGTTTTTAGTGAAACCGTAATATATGGCCTAAAGCCAAATTACGTTTAGCTTGTTGAAAGAAATAATATGTAGATCTCATATAGTATACTCTCATAGTTTACAGGTAGCTATAATTATTTTAAAACAACTTATTTATTTTCTCATAAAGATATGGGCAAGGAAAAAAATGTTTTTTAGACATTTCCCAATTAGTTTTCGAATCAGCACTAAATTAATTAATTGGATGTATAGTTGAAAATCACTTTTTAATATACAACAAGTACCATCTACCTTTCACAGCCCACACAAAGTGATACAGAGTCTTCTAAAATATATAAAATGTTGTACATTACCTTGATCGATTGGGACTGGCAGGTGTAGAGAGTGGCTTCCTCTTGGCCTTGAACTTTTGCTTATTGCCAGGAGGCTCCAGCTTCAGGCTGTAGCTCGACGAAGCCTTGCGGGAGAATTTGAATGATGGTGACTATAATAATAAAATATGTTAATTGATTATAAGTAAACTCCAGGACTGTTTCAGGTCGTGGTGTGTTATTCCAAGTTCACGCTTGTGGGTGTTTTGGAAGTGAGCAACATTTCCCTATCGAAATTCTCAGTAAAACTTTTTCTTTTTTAAGCATCTAACACAAAACACTGCTACTTTAAAAAAAATCTTTCATATAAAGGTCTAACAAGATTGTTGTAGTACCTGTCATTTTAACTTCAAATGACACTTCTATAGGCTTTCGTTTGAATTCCTGTGGTAACCGCATTTGTTAGCATCATTGGTCTTTTACAACGGTAACTTAAAATACTTACGCAACATTCTCTAAATTGTTTGGCATCAATGGGAGAAGTGAAGTTGAGTCCCCATGTGTCGTTAGTCATGGGATCTTTCCAATACACGAAGCATTCGGACGCTTGCCCGATACGGGTGCCTGAAAAGACAACGTATTTAAAAAATCAATTTTATATTAATTAACGATTTCACCGTAAAAATACATTAATTGCTCTCAAATAACGATCATTATAAAGTCAGTATACTTTATAGTGCCTGAATGTTTGTAAAAACAAACAAAAAACAACAGATAGCTTCGATACCTCCACCAGCGAGATTTAAAATCACAAGCAGAAGGCATTTATTTATTCAGTTGTTTTATTTAAATTCGACTCAACTGCTGGTGTTGCATTATGTAAATAAGAGTCAACATGAATCTAAATAAAATACTGGTTGCAACAGCAGGGTTGCTGTAAGTAATAAAATCGGTGAATGTATGTAGTGTTGTGTTGTTTTTCATATAATTTTTCGTATCTTAATTCTAAGTATGCACAGCAACAACTGAACTGTTGCTGGTATATTGCTGTGTGCTTGAAAGGTAAAGTAATGTGTCGGACGTCGGTACGTTCTGTTGAATTCGGTCGATTACTCTTCTAACTATCCAGTGTAAATTTAAAACTAGGTTAGAGCCGCTGGCGTCCGCCGTATCTGCCGAATTGCCCCAGTAAAATGTAGGTGTTACTCTGTCAGTGATCCCCACGTTTGTTACTAAAGTGTTTATTTCGGGAACTATTTTTTAACGCCCGTAATGCATGTTCTGTAACTGTCATAAATATGGCGTTGAAATTGAATATTGCTGTTCCAATGAGTTTCGAAGCCAAAAATGTATAGCGCAACACATTTCGTCTGCATTTTAAATGACTTTAAGCGATTACTTCGATGTTTTGCTGAGTGATTACTCAGATATTATGCTATATTTAACATGTTTCAATTATAAAACATCTTTCTAATCGAGACACATCTATTAATTCTTACGACACACGAATGTTATGATAAAATTATACAAAGTAGTTCGGATATACGATCAATATTTATGGGTTTAACAACTTCGGACTAACATTTTAAGATCAACAGCTATATCATCCCACAGCACACATTCAAGACGTTCAGCCTACGCCTAAATATTACCACTAGCCCATAATTTGTATACAATACATCAGCCCATCTTACCATGAGAAAGATTTATGTCGATATTGCATTAGCATGAATATTTTTAGCTGACTATTATAAAAGGCGATCCGAGTTGCTTCACGGATCATTTTAAAATATATACCGTGTGGGTAGATGAAGCTGCTGAGAACTCAAGCTTATTACTAAGACGAACTAACATGTAAAGAAAACTTAGTGTACATTTCAACTTTAAGATGGCATTTCCCTTTACCCTTTAAAATTCAAATATGTTTTTGAAATGTCGAGAGATTTCAGCATGCTGACTTTATGTTCAGTATGATTACTTTTATGGAAATATCAACTAACTGCATTAGGCAAATTAATGCATTAACGGTTGATAGCTATTTAGTTAAAGTAAATTTCTGAGGTATCATATAAAATAACATTTAGATTCTAAATTATAATGTGGAGCCTTTTTAAATCATACATATCACTAATTTAAATGTCAGGCTGTTTTTACATGTCTATTTATTTTAACGAAAGATTGGAAGACATGGTAATCCCATAGTTTACATCAATTCTATTAGTAGTCTCTCTCGAATAGAGAGACTATAAAGCTATAAAATGGGCATTTATTTTCGGAGCCACATTGTTAAAACCACAGAACATATAAAGGTTAAAACAGATTCTACTGCTAAACAACACTCTAGTCGATCTAGTCACTGAAACTTAAAACGCAAGCCCAACAATAATCAAACTTTTTAAGAGTTATCTTCTATATATATAAAAGAAAGTCGTGTTAGTTACACTATTTATAACTCAAGAATGGCTAAATCTTGGGGAGGTAGCTTAGAACCAGGAGACGGACATAGGATACTTTTTACCCAATTCTTTTTTTTTACTTTTTATCGAAAATCAAGAACGGGAACGGGAAATATCGAGATTGCGTGTACGAAGTAGCGGGCAGAAGCTAGTGATGTATAAAAAATACATCAATTAGTTTTTTAAGTATCTCTTATATATAAAATATACGTACCGGGTTGCAGTAGTCTAACGTCGAGGATCTTGTCGACCTGCGAGTTGTAGGCAGTGATATGGAAGACGCACTCGGGCGAGTCCTGGATGCAGGTGATGTTCACAGGTACCAAGTCTTCCGAGACTTGCTGCCACTTCACTGTGCCTGCGCCACTTGCAGACACGTGGAATACCTCGGCCCATAATCTGAAACGAAATATCGATTAAGAGATATACTGGAGTAAAATAAAAAATATGGAAATTATGGCTGATTGTATTTGTTGTGCCTTTAGGGGAATAGAAGTTTTTAAATAATTATGTACTTAATTATAATACTATAAATACAAATAACTAAAAACTAAACTTGATAAATTTGTTTTTTTTTATATAATCACATAATAATCTAATAATTTAGTTTTAATTATTTATTTCAATAAGAAGTGCAAGTATTTCGTAGAATTAATAAACTTTGTTTTAATTGAATAATAAATGTTATCAGTATTTTATCCAATCAACGACAAATGCACTAGCTACAGCCTGTATTACAGTCAACCAAATAAAATCATAGAGTTATCTATCTTACTTATTAAAACATATTTCATTTGTACCAAATAATATTATGCAAGTATGAAGAAATTCTAATACGAAAATCAATATACTTGAAAGAAGATGGTTCGTACATACAGTACGTATCAAAAAGAAAATCAAAACTTTTAAATAAACACGTAAGTACTGTCGCTACATTCACATAAAATGTCGTTAAAACTTCTTCCACTCCGTTTGCCTGCATAAAGTTTACTTAGAAACATGTTTGTAAGTAAAATTAGAACGAGTTGCTTTGATGCAACCAATACAGTGAGCGTGATATATTCTGTTTACATTTTAGATGTACAATGCGCGTCTAACTTCGAAACAACAACACACCGGTGACAGTATTAATTTAGACTTTTAGACATACGTGATGAATTTCATTTTTAACACGTCCATCGATAGAATTATACGAAATACTTTCCTTTATTTATTTCTTTACCAAATCGTGGCCCCCATACTAGGATTTTCTCCTGTGGCATGGGTGCGATAACACACATACAAGTTCAAATACATATGACACCCAGACTCGGAACAACAATCAGTGGATCACACAAAGAGTTGTTCCGTGCGGGAATCGTACCCGCGACACGTTGCGCGGCAATCAGTTACCCAACCACCGCACCAACTGTGCAGTCATTCGAGTAAAACATTAAATACACCTCCTGTGTTCTCCTAGTGTTACAGCTTTTGCATACAATATAATGATTGTCATTTACGTAAAACCGACAAACATTTTAGAAAATTTGCGAGTATTGTTATGTTTTTATACCTCTATAACAGCCAAAAACGGAATTTATTTTGTGAATTGAGAATTTCGTTCTCATTCCGATCCAGACTGTGCTTAGAGATCTATTTTAAAAACTTCATATTCGCCTGCAGCAGCTGTTCAAGGAAAACTTATTGAATAAATAACATAGAACAGAAATTACCTTAGCAAATGTCCGTCTCTTCGTCGTGAGTTCTGCCACGGGCTGTCTTCATAGCGGTACGCCTTGCGCAAGATGGGCGCGCAGGAGCACGACGATAGCTTATTGCCCATCGTGCGCGTGCCACACTCGGCGCACTGCACTATGCTGCCTGCAAACCAACGCTCGTCAACGTATACCCAAACAAGATATTGATTTATTTTCGGTGCATGTTCAGTGTACCTAGTTATATGAGGACTAATAGATCTGTATTATTAATTTATTATAGTGGTTTTATGTAAGTAAATAAAATAATACAAATAGGTATTTATGTTAAATATCTTCCTTGTGTTATGAATGTTTTCTAAATATTATAAAATCTGGTTACTCCAAACTGTGTCTGTATTGTGTGTAAAATACAAGTTAATTTCTAACACCATATTATAACCTTGGGAATGATTAGTAGTACCTTTATTTTTTGTTATCACTATGTTATATGTATGTATCTAATGTTTTGAGTCCGATATTGTGAAGAAGTGTAGCGAGTTCAACGCGACAAACGCCTCTAATTAACGTAATCCCACTTAAAGTATGTCAGGGTACATAAAACTAAGGTTTAAGGGGACAAGTTCCTGACTGACTGACTGATAAAGTAAATAATTTTGTATCTCTAAGATTAACTAATAAATTTAAATAATCCTTCAACAATTACTAAACCTTACTAGGTATCAGACTTATTCTTCTCTGTCGAACCAAGACAGTTTGCTAAAGAAAATATCAATATTTGATTTTAAAATAACATTAAAAAAATTTCCACACTCAACACGTCCTGGAAAACATTCTAAGAGTCTCTCAGAATCAAGAACGTCTGCACATAAGTATGTACTTAGACAGATAAAAATTGATACAAAAAATCAACCATACCTTTTCATAAAAATATTTTAATTACGATCAATGTTTGTTTGGTGTTTTATTTTACTTTTGTTACCGAGTGGAGAGACCTGTCTCAGACTATATTTAAATAAGTAAAATCTACACACATCTGCACTCATTGCTTATTTAGTTTACCAATTACATTTTTTTTCATCTGAAGAACGTAATATAAAGAATATTCCTTCTGTTTTATTTAGAAGAATTACAATCATTATATTGACAAAACGTTTTATAGCTGCAATGAGTCTAAATGATTTATCGTCATCAGACCATTTCCATTAACTGGTAGGTCTAGTCCTCTCCGATAACACAACATTGAGTAGAGAAAGTAATGTAACTCCATCCCACCTAAAACTATCACAAATAAAGTGTAGCAGTCCTCGATCTGTCCTCCTAAAGTCCTATTTCTGGTAGATATCGATGCATATTCTCATGTTTGGCTAATTATTATTCAGACTTCGAGCTTCTGCCTGCACTAATGGCTTCCATATTTTAAATTTCCATTTTGAGAAGCTAATATATATAACATTATAATATAAGTAACATTTATTTATAGATATTTTGTTACCGCCGTTGGGATGGAGAAACGGTATAGAATAACTACCGACTACGATTATCAAGGTATTATGAGTTACCCTAAAATAATTCTAAAAATAGTAATTTTTGGATACAGTTTTTTTAAAGACTCTTATTATATTTTAATAAAGAGAAAAAAAAAGATACAATTTACATAAATCCATTGCTTAGTTCGCTGTATTAACTTATTCATCTACACACAAATCTATTTAGAAATGGAAACGTAGACATGTGTATAACTAAATCAATCAGATTCACAAATATTTTAAGACAAGACAATAAGTTCGTAAGACGGTTAAGATAAACATTAAAAAACCACTACGTTGTTGTTAATGGTCTCTACCTCTAATATCATGTGAATAGTTCTGTAGTAGAAGTATATCTAATTGGAACAGGCTAAAATAAAGAAGTACCTATTTACTTACATAAAACACAACTATCGCAACTTTTATACTGAACTTAAAGGAGGTTCAATATTCTCTAATAGAACTTTGTATGCTTAGGTATGGCAATGCAGACGAGGTCTTGAACAAGGCTCCATCAGCGTATCAATGTAAACTAGTCCTAATAGGTGTAGAGTACGGTTGGATGGATACAAGTGGATAATACTGCACATGAGTGGGTGCGTGTGCACTCACCCGCGGTCCCGTGATGTCACCAGGTGGCATCGGTGCGCGAGAGCGAGTGGCCGCGGTTCAAGCTCTGCGACCGCTGCGTGCCGTGTCTGTACGGGTGTTTCACAACGGCATGCTGCAACCCACAACACAACCATCTTGCATTCTTACACAACTTACCAATATTTACACTCAACATACATGTTACCGTCCAACACAATCTTCATTGCAAATTTCTTATTAGTGCAAAAATCTTCTGATAAACAAATTCTGTGTTTTCTCTCAATATATTACAGAAAATAATATTTTACAAAATCCAAGCTTGTATTATCATATATTATATATACAATTATTTAGATATATTTTATTTTAGGATATAGAAGGAAGAACATATTTAATATACGTTTATTTAGATATGATTTTAGATGATAAATATCAATTGATAGGAAAGGGGTGTGAAACGATATAGAAATATGTGCATGCATGAAAACCAAAAAATATAATACAAATGCTACAAAATAATAGACTACAATACGTTGAAATGAGACCAAAAATGTCACAACATAGCGTTTATGTTTATTTTATTTTTGGTTGATATTTGTGGTATTAGATAACATTTAAAATCCACATTTAAGAACACATGGGGTTTGGAAAGTGTCAAATTTGACTTACTGTAAGGCTTCACCTGCCTTGCTTAATCACTTAATGTCTCACTATCTTACTAAAAATACGCTCTATGCCCAGTTTCTCGTAAAACGTAGTAATCGAAGTGTCATTGAATTAACTTCGGGCGTTGAATTCTATCCAAGTTGTACATGGACACGTGAGTCATTATTATTAAGTCATCTACAGCTGACACGCCTTGAAGTTAGCTAACTATAATTGACATATATTGCATCATCATAGTTTGTATTGTCGTATATCAATTTCGCATAGACACCTACAAAGTTGCTTGTATTATAATTTCATCTGTAATAAGGTACGGTGAGACTACCATCCTTGATCATAAGGTAAAAGTTTTCGACCCCCTACGTCGACATAGATCGTCACTCCTTTTCACTAAGATGCAAGTTTTATGAACCAAGTTTCATTAGATACGGATCAGGTGGTATTGCGGGGATCTCCGAAATTCTAGCTGGGGGATTTCGGGATAGCCTTTTTATATAAAACTTGGTATAATATTGACATAAATCTTTTATAATAACTATTTATTTCAGGTCTTTATAACTGGAGACAATATTTTGACATGTTCGTGATGAAACCATAGGAATGAGTCAAAAACGAGCTTCACTGTTGCTCTATGTGTACTATTGATTGATACTTCAATTAAAATTATGAATTGATAAAAGTATTACTGTATAATAATTGTATACCGACATTTTATTATTTATTTACCGAAATAATCATATCACTTTTATTTCCTATCTAGTGAATTTGAACTAGAACAGATTCAGATCAATAATAGTTGCGGTGAACTAAACCGTTCTCAGTTAACCTGGTATCTAGACTATTGATAGAAGTTCGAGTCTATCCTATCAAAAGGTAATTAAAATTCTAACGCCGCATTTCGATCTTCACAGCAGTGCCTTCAATCATGTTAGATTAGACCGACTGTATGTGGGTCAGCTCAGTTTGGCTTCTTATTTAAAACTGGCTACATACACCACCTACTTATATATAACTTGTCCGTTTTAATTAAACGTTTCGACAGCTGATTACCTACTGCTAAGCTCATGTTTAACTAATTATAAACCTAATAAGCGACTAAATAAGAGTCAACATTGAATGTGTGGTTTTTATTTATCTATTGTTATACCTGTGTATGTCTTCTATATAATTATATTTGATACACAATTATAGATTAGAGAATGTTGATAATATTATTACAATATCAATTAAACATATCACTGTACTATTGCACCATGATACTGCTTGTCCCTAATACATAGATAATAAACATTAAGTTAATTGTACCCACGATGTCCAAACCTATATCCATGACCCCAGTTCATAGGTGCGCTTCACTGCCGTCAGCGCGTCGATAGATTGTCTTACATGTTAATTAAATATTTAGAAACGTCTAGCATAGGAAATGGGCATATACTACATATAATAACACAACGAAACTTTAATACATACACTCATAAACATAATATTATATTAATACTTACTTAATTATACAGGCTTAGCTTGTTATCATATTTTAATATTAGATATTTTAAACATAACGTGTGAACATGCAAATACTGATTGCTCGATATAAAGTTACTGTGCATGAAATTTTAATTATGATTTCACATAACGTTAATTTATCATTATTTTAATGGCAAAAACGCCCCATAATACAGACATTCACGAGGGAGGTAGGGGAATACAAACACTCCATGTGCAAATCAATTTAAAGGTATTTACGAACCTCGAAATTGTTCCAATTTTGCGAAGAAAATTTAGCAGCTTCCACGCTTTCTTTAGCACCCATATTTACGAAGTTGTGAAATCACTCGTATGAACTATGACAATTCTGTTTCGATGCGTATGCTCTGAGCTCGTGACACTAATGTGCACTACGGCCGGTCTCTGTGTGATAGTCAGCTTTAATAAGCATTTAAATACCTCTATCTTCGGTCGTTCGCAAAGTTAAAAATTCACAGCGTTGAATAGTAAATGAGGGGTGTAGTATGTTGCAGCGAGCAGCGCACGGGGCGCACAGGGCACAGGGGCCGCACGAGCCACGGGGCCGCTCGGGCCGCTCGGGGCTCGGGGCAGCGCGGATGCAGGCGCCGCGTGTAAACACCGCCAGCTGCTGTGCGGCGCGCTCGCTCGCTGCGGGCCGGCAGCAGCCCGCACCCTCGCTACCTGGGCCGCACCGTCCGCGACCCTACTGTCCTACGAGCGACCTCACTACCACCGGCAACACCTAACACTTTCGATTATCTCCGGATATCTCAAAGTGCGCAGAATATAATGTGCGGTGATACGTTTTTGCGAACGGTGCGGCAGGGCGACACCGG